TTCCCTAGACCGAATCTCATTGATATTTAGATATTGGAATAATGCCATTGATATTTACATAAGCCTTTTTTTTTTCATCTAAGTTATACAAAATTTAACATCAACTCAACATCTTTTTTAATATTGAGGTAGTCTCTTTTCTATGGCATCACTTAAAAAAAATTGAACTTTTATCATGTTTTATAGCAAAAATCTTGTTACGTTTTGACAAGTCACTTATTGTTAGAAGAATGGTAATTTAGGACTTCTAGTGATCTAATCATTGTTTATCTTTGACAAAACCAAAAAATATTTTATTTTAGTGTAGGAATTATCAAGGTCAATTTTAAGATTTAGAACACCCAAAAGTAATTATCAATTTTCCATAAATTATATATGTATACAAAATTTACTCTAAAATAATCACTTAATATCATGGAAGCATGTACACAAGCAAATAACATAAATAAAAAACTTGCACTTTATCTTTTTTTTATTCACAAACAAACTACTTGATGGATGGAGTCATTAGAGTACTAAAAGATCAAGTGAGGATCTTATCTTTCATTAAATAAACAAGTAACCTAATTTCTATCCACAATAGATAATAAACTTGTGAAGATAGCATGGTTATTTATTAGATTTAAACTAATATACATATAAATAGGTGGTAATTTTCAAAGCTCAATTTGAATCATTTAATTAAAAAATAGACTTATAAGAAAAATATTATGTCATAAATCTAATTCATATTTTAATAAGTAAAATAAATGTATCAATAAAAAAAATTAATTATTTTTTTTAACATTATCCAATATAGACAACATTGATATTTAAAAAAAAAATAAAAAAAAATACCTAAAAGTTAAACAATTGTAACCACAAATAAATTATTTGAATATACTTAAAAAAATGATCAATATATCTAATAAAATCAATATATAGGGGTCCTGAAGAAAAATAAATCATTCAAAATTTACTTCATCTATAACAATATAATTAATTAACAAATTTATTAATGTGGTCATGACACAATCATCTTCCTCCATATATCATATTTATGTTTATTTAGAACATAGTATACTATATCTTTGTCATGATACCTATTTTGTATTTTTGAGAAAAAAACACAATCGATCTTACAAGGAGATGATATTTATGTTTCTCACAAAATCACTTAGAAAAAGAATTTGAAACATCTAAAGACAAATAAAAGATAAATAAAATTGTATAACAATTATATCATATAAAAAAAAACAACTTGCACATAATATTATAGAAGTGAAACTACACAAATCTAATGTTATAAAACAACATTCAATAATTATTTACATCAAAAGATCTTGCAATACCATTTTTTTCAACATTTTTAGGGAAGATTATGAGTCTAAGTTCTTTAGTTAGGACCAACAAACATCTCCTATTTGACATATTCAATAATAATCGTTTCATTCTCAACCATCTCCGTGACAACAAGAAATTTAATCCTTATGTGTGAAATTTGGTGCAATCCTATTATTCAAGAGAAAAGCATCAAACTGCTTTGACAAGTTTTTTTTCTTCTTCTTCAATAGTTTATAAATAAAGTCCATAATACTCGACATAAACAAAGTTTTTAACCATATAGTATGCTATAAGCTTCATAACATGCAATAAATTTTTTATATAGTCAATTGACAAAGTCTATTTTACATACTTTTAATATATAATTCCATGATAGGTATAAAATACACTTAACGCACCCTATCACGATAATAATAATAGATTGAGTCTAAATATTATATCCAAATAATACTCTCTAAAATAAATTATAACGCAATTCATGTAAGACTAAATAATTATGATTTGAGTTTGAAGAAGTTGTAATAAATTTAAAATGAAGCAAAGATTGAAAAAAAAAGTGGTTTCAAGTTTTTATAGAATTTTAACTTACTAATACTTTTAATAACTTTTTCATGGCCCAATTCTTTGATTCTAGTTTTAATATTAATTACCGAATTTCTGATCTGTAACTTATTTTATATTGTTTAAAATTAAAAATATTATTTTTTAATTAATTTATATTTGATCATGTATGGAATATAAGCATTTTGGCTAAGTCTATAATGTTTATTTCTATGGATCTCATAGCCAAAACAAATCAAAGTCTTTCCCTCGGTCATTCGTATAGAAAGACAAACAACATAAATTTGATCTTAATAAATAAATAAATAATTATTGCTAGCAAATATCCTATGTCATTTACACAAACAACAATAATAAATTTACTTCCAAAGATCTTAACCAAAGACATATATATATATATATATCAACTTTACTTTATAAAAAAAACTTATGAATATGATGATTTTATTAAATTTAAGATATTATCGGTTAAAATCTTATTTCAAAGTTATAAACATCTAACTTAAAGCTATCAATATCTAATTCAAAGCCACCAACATCTAGTTTAAAATTATTAATAACTAATTTAAAGTTATCAATACCTAACTCAAAGTTACTAATACCTAACTCGGAACTATCAACTAGTTCGAAACTACAAACACCTAACTAAAATTATGTACAATATTTCTTACTGCTATACAACATTCAAGTTGTTGCATGTAAAATGTTCCTAAAATTATTTTTAAGAAATAATTATTTTAATTTATATATAGATATAAATAAATTTTTTTAATTTCTTTCAACTATATTCTTAATTACAAATGCATATTTAATTTAATTTATCTACTCTTAAGAAAAATTATTTCTTTACTATCTCAAATTATCATCCTTTTATCTTTATTTGCATATTTGATCTTTTGAACTACTTTTTTTACAATTCACAACTGTTATCTTTAATTCCAAAATATGTTTCAATTTATTTTAAAGTTAAATTAAATAATTAACAAAATTTTATATCATAATATAAATTATGTATCACAAATTTAAACACACTTCATATATTAAAATATTTATTTGTTATATATTTTAATTATAAAATAAATAATTATTGTATATTATTTGATTAAAAAAATTATCTCAAGTGAAATTATTTTTAAATTATTCTTTGATATTAATGTTTTTATGATATATTATTCCATGAGAACATTTTTATAAAAAATTCTTTAAATTTCAATATATAATTTTATCTTTATTTATAAAATATTTTAAAATCTTTTAAAAGGAAATTATTAATAATTTAAAAGGTTTTTACATTATGATATAATTTATCTGTTATAAATTTAAATATAATTTATGTATTTAAATATAAGCTAAATTTTTATTCTTCAAATTTAAGATTAACTTATTTTTATTCTCTTAAATTTAAAACTATTTTTTAGTTTCTATAATTTAAAAAAATCTTATTTTAGTTTCTACCATATCTGAAAAAGATAAACTAAAATATTTATATTGTATCAACTAGATTTAATATTATCTTTTCACTAACAAAGAGATTAGTAAATAGATTATATGTAATAATATCTAACAGAATTCTTAAAAAAAATTGAGTGTAAGGATTAAAATAATTTTTTTAAAAATTATAAAAAACTAAAAAAATTAATTTAAAAATTTGATAAATAAAAAATATATTTAAATTTCAAATATATTTAATTATTATAAATTTAATTATTATATCATAATTTATATATTAAAAACATTTATTCATATTAAATTTAAGTTATATAAAAACAAATAACTGTGTGTAATGTTCAGATTAAATATTTATTAAATGTAAATAAAATTTATAATAAATTATATATAAAATTAAATATATTATATTTAAAATATGTATAAGTAGATATTTATTTTTGTTTATAATAGAAAAGAATAAAGAAGAAAGAGATTAAATAATAATTAGTTACAGGTTAAGGAAGCGAGTGGCGAATAAAATATAAGGAAGAAGAAAATAGAGTTGGTATTATTCCACTAGCGAGAGATTCATCTTTTCTGCTGTGCTAGGGTTTCATTCATTCATCAAATTCACAGCATCCTCCATCTCCGTCCCAATGAAACCGGGCTTCATCTGATTCCCATTCCCAACGCTTCTTCTTCTTCTTATCCTCTTCCCTCTCATTCTCTTCCAATCCAATTCAATTATGATTATCATCAACTCTATCTTCGTCGCGCACAACCTTCGCGTCTTCGGTCCCGGCTTGAATCCCTTCTCACCCTATTGCGTCGCCAATCATTCCCTTCTCTCTCGCTAAATATTTCCCCTGCCTCTGCTCTTCCTCCTTCTCCCTCTCGGAGCATGTAAATTCGGAGGACGCTGTTTTAGATTCGCTCTCTATTTTGGGGGTTAGCTTCAATACGAAATCGTCACCCGACACTTTTCGGTTTGCGTCGTTTTGCTTTTCTTTGTCGTCGTTTGTTGGTTCCTGAGAAACACCATGCTCGAAGAACGGCCCGTTTTGTTCAGGAGGAGCCCTTCCCGGAGGCGCTTGAGACCTGGGTGTGATACCGATGATAGGGGTTGGACTTCGCTTCATGTTTTCGCTAGAAAAGGCGATCTCAAGCTGGTATTTTCTTTTTCACCTCCGCCTTATGATCTGTCTTATTGTTTGGTTGTTGAATTGCATGGCTGAAATGTTGCTTACCGGGAAATTTATGATGGGAGGCTTTGAGTTGGTTATATTTATATGGCAATGTGTTTGGGTTCCACTGTTTATTGGTTTATGGAATTTGAATTTAGGTCATTCATGATTGTGTGTGCAAGAGGTTTCGTTTTTATTATCATATATTTCTTCCCCCTTTTTAATAGGTAGATTCTCTTTCTGCTGTAGAGAACAAGATGAGGAAAATAGGGACATAAATTCTACAGTCATAAGCCGAGATAGAGAGAAAATCACTATAATAAAACTTACAATCTTCATCAATCAAATACTATAGTCACACCCTAACGGCTTATTTCACCGAAGATGGGTAATTTTATGTCAAAATGATGTAGGGTTTGAATAATTCCCATTTGAATTTACCCTAGTTTTGGAATTTATTCAGATTTTACACCATTTGGTAATTTTGAATTAAAATTATTCCTCTGCGGTAAAATAAGCCCACCAAAAGCCTCATCCCATTATACCCATTGCACTCTGGTTATCAATGGTTAAACAAAATTGGCTAACGACCAAATTTACAATGGATTAGGTTTGATACTTGATGCAAGTCACCAATAATACCTTTAACCCGTGTTTTAAAACTCGGACTAGTTATCAACTCAATGAGAATATTGGGTTAATGGGTTATTAGTTGAACCGGTGAGTCACGTGTTGAATCACATGAATTAATATAATAATAATACATCTTATTATGTATTGTGTGTGTATATATGTATGTATGTTACCAATAAAACAAATGCTTAACTTGTCTTAGTGATTTGTCTCCTTGACTTTATCCAAGGAATCAGGGATCGATTCCTACCAGGTGTGTTTTTGCATTTTCTCACTTTTAAATGTAAGACAAGACATTGGCAAAAAATACGCCGGTTTAATCTGATTTTTGCTGGTTTAATTATGCCACAGCCGAGTCAAGTGAACACCTTTAACAAATTGCTTCTAAATGCTAGATTTATTGCTTAAATATGTAATGTGCTGAGTTTTTATTTTTCGCTATTAGTTTTAGTTCTGTTTTCTTTTATTTCTTTTCAGAAATATATGGGGGAAAGTTTTCACCTAGGGTGAATGTAATAGCCTGAAGAGAAATAAATATGTGGGCATTTTCTTGGCTAGTATCTAATAAATGTGAGTTTGAGATGCATAGCAAATTTCTCAACTTTTTATTGTATAATCAAGCTGTAAGAAATTATGTCCAAGTTTGAAATGAAATCCATAAAAACTGGGTGCATTATTCCTGGGGGATGTGGATGAGAACTAATGTGAAGATGAGGTTATTCCTAGATTGAGTAGAAGCTGACTCCAACTTACCTCTCCCTTATACCATTCTATCATTTGTGCTCATAAATGTAAATTGATACAAAACTTCTGTCCTAATTGGGTTGGTTTTTTCCATATTGAGTCTCTTTTCAAGATCAAGGAATATTTGTATTACATCATTGTCAAATTGATCAGTTGTAACTGTATGGCACGTGATGTGCAAAACAGTTATACAGGGTGCTATATGTACATCCAAACAACTTATGATTGAAAACCAGAGGAGAGCAGAGTAGAACATTGAGGAGATTGTTAGTAGCACATTCATGATAGACAGTGAAGAATAAGGGGACTATTTTGTAGGGTTAATGTGATATTTGTAAATGGATCAGGTATTATGCTGACTAGAAGAGTCACTCAGCATTAGCACACCTGTAGTGTTCAAACCTGGAGAGTGATGGGTGGGTGCTAGTTTGCTACCTAAAGTTATTACTTAGTACTCACCAAATAATTCATAGGTTACTATAGTGATAGAAGATTATGGTAGATTACAAATCTACTTAATGTGTATAGATGGCTGTATAGAAACAGAGATGGTTCTCATTAATTAGGAATCTACTTGATCTCATTCAAATGGACCCATGTTTTTTATTCTTTTTTGAGTCTGAATGTTCTGAAGAGTTCTTTTGTAAAAGATGAGTAGCATAAGTGTTGGCACAACGACACCATTTCAGCAATAAGGTTGCTGCATTATGACTAGGTGACACTGTTCTGGCTATTTAAACAGCCTCTTCTATCTTGGAGTATGGATGTACACATTTGACTTACCCTATATTCCACTATGTTGGGACTTGGGAACATGAACCATGTTCACTGGTCCACCCTTTATGGATTCCTGGCTGTATTTAAAACTTTTTTAAATCTTATGATGTTACTAATTTCTATAGTACTTGAACGCTCTGCCTCATGTAGTTGATGATTTGCAAACTGTTTGGGTTATTCATGATTTATTGATATTTTAGGGGTTAAAATTGTATCATATTTGGAGCAGTAATGTTTTCAATTTTGTCATATTTAGTCGCATGGGGGGCATCTTCTTATGGTGTTTTTGTCTTTTTGAACAGGTTAAAAAACTTCTCAATGAAGGAATGGATGTCAATGTATCTGCATGGGGCCCTAAATCAAAAGGGGTGACCCCTCTCCACCTTGCTGCCGAAGGTGGTCACATTGGAGTGATGGATGTACTGCTTGAACGTGGTGCTGACATTGATGCCAGAACTAAGGGTGCTTGTGGCTGTAATATATTTATGCTTCCTCTTTAGACTTATGCCCTGATATATTTTAGCTTAAATTAAGAGTTTTAGATTTAAAGCTACTACGATGTCTTTGCACATCCAAAATTTTAAATTTTCACATTGATGAGTATGCTTTTTCTTGAACCAGGGACGCCACTCCACATTGCAGCCAAAGAAAGGAGAAGGGATGCTGTGAAATTCTTGATAGAGAATGGAGCCTTCTTGCCACCGGATATCAATGATAGCAGATTCAACCCTCCTCTTCATTATTGCCCCGGTCTAGAATGGGCCTATGAGGAGATGATGATACTTCGACGGAAAGACTTGTCTGCTGGAGACACATCTTACAGCTCTGAAAGTTAGTTTGCATTTCAGGGATTTGGTTGGTGTTTGATAGTGTTTGGATGCTCGTTAGAGGAGAACGATGCGTGTCAGGTCAAGGTTGATATATAAGTAGCTTCTGCGTCACTTTTATAAATTTGACGTGAAAATTTGAACGTGCCTTCAGGAATCGTATCCAGACAAACACGGAATCTGTATTCTGGGAATGAATGTAGAATTGAAATAAAACAACAAACTATGCGCGAGTTGCTTAATGTATTGGGATGTGTTGCTTACTGATTTTAGTATGTTTGAAGCTCTTGTTTATGTACGATCGCTAATGCGATATGTTGTGTTTGTTGATGCTGTCATTTGTGCTGTGGGTGCGCTCACAATGCTTTGTCTCTCTTACTATTGTTATGCTGTGGTATTTTTCTTATGAACAATAATATAATATAATGTATTATATTATTTACAAACAATAATATTTTTTTATAACAAACATTGGTTTTACTTTGTTTTGTTTATAAAAGTTATAAAGAACAATGAAGATATGTTCGAGTAAGCCTCTTTAAAAAGTATTTGAAGTTTTAAAAATAATGAAAAAAGTCAAACTATAATTTCATGAATTTTTTTAAACGTTTTTAATTATCTTAGAGCGATCTTAAAAAATATTTAAATAGAATGCCCTAAATTTCTACAAAGGACGTGGAGTTGATTATTTTGATTATATAATGCGAGTGTTTTAAGTTGAAAATGATCTTGTTTCAAAAAAAGGTTGAAAGTGAACGAAATCCTTGGCATATATGACACAACTAGAAAAAATTAAAAATTCAGCTTATTAAAAAAAAAAGCAATTGTTTTTGGTAATACAGTGATTATTCCACTCCCAAATTAGTTTATTCCATATCTAAGTAATTTTAAGTGTAACATCCGTGATCATATATCATAAAACACTACAGCTCATACCCTAACAATCTTCTAAGACAAGGCTGCTTCAAGTCTTATTCATGCTACTCTTTAATCCAAAATATAACGCTAAGACACGGTGAGTCATGTTTATCCGGAAGCTACCTGCGGATGTTACTTATGGCCAAGTTAAGATTGTCCAATGACCATTCTGTTCCTATTTTTGAATTTGTACCAAATTTCATTTCTTTAGGACTGCTACCTCTCTGTCTGTACCTCGTAGTTTCTAATTTGGGCTTCGGCCCACCTTTTTCAATTATTTATAAAAGCTATGTTTTAAATAATTAACTTACAATCATTCTTGAAATTTTAAAAAATAAAATAAAATCGAATCACTCATTTCAATTGATAAAATAAGCTTTTATATGATATGTAATTTACCCCCAAAATATTATTATGAAGTTCTACTCACATGATCGAATTCTAAAAAAAGAAATTAGACATTTTTAAAGATTAACATGAAAAACAAAAAACCAATAAGTATAACTGAGTTTGTTAAATTTATGAACAATGAAGAGATTTTTTCTTTTAATATAAAAAAATGCAAAGGCTCAGAAACTCATTGAAACATCTTATGAAAACTAACCGGAGATATAAATGTCAGTTATTACACTTATTAATCATGATATAAGATTAGATACCAAGCATTCTCCACCATATGATATCAATAATCAACGGTAGTAAATTTAGTCCTCGTTCAATAATTTTGGTCTTTTTTTTTTTTTTTTTTTTTT